TCTCTGTAAACCGCTTAGAGAGGGCTGAAAGCCCTATGAAGCGGTATATAAGTCTACTGCTATTGCAACTAGTTTTCATATATTTTATCCCCTAGTCATCGTTGTTACACAGTTGGCTGGGAATTTGGGGAATTGAAGTCCTCATGTCTTAAATTTGTCCAAGTATTTTCTTTACTTTGTATGGAAATGCTAGGGAAGCCACCTGAAATACATTTATTTATTCATTCAGACCCTAGAAACTGCATTGTGCTTGCATGTAAATAGCATATGCTGGATTTGATACTTGTGAACCAGCTGTGTCTCACCAAGAGACCCCTGACCAAGGTTTCAAAAACTATGCTTTATCCAAATCATTAACCCAGCATCTGTGTGACTCTTAGCTTCCAGCACAGCACCATTCACAATGAAAGTCCCCCTCAAGAGACAATTCAAGATGAGCCTGCTGGATATCACCAAGATGTTTTCCCTGTTCCAGCCCAGCGAAGATGAAGATGGGGACAGAGAAAGACAAGAGTTGAGTGTAGCCGTGTCCCAGGACAACTACCAGCTGTTGGACCAACTGTTGCACCAAGAGAGTTACAAACGGGTCATCAACAGTCGGAGTGGTTGGGGGGTGCCAGGCACTCCCCTGCGCTTAGCGGCATCAAAGGGCCATGTCAGGTGCGTCAAGGTGCTTCTGGACCACGGAGCTGAAGTGGACAGCTTGGATGTCAAGGCCCAGACGCCACTATTTGTTTCTGTCAACAACGGGCACCTTGATTGTGTGAAGGTCCTCTTGGAGGCGGGGGCCTGTCCTTCTGGGAGCATTCACAACAACTGCACCCCACTGCTCACGGCTGCGAGAGAAGGAGCCCTGGGGATCCTGCAGGAGCTGCTGTCACACGGGGCAGACCCTAACGTCAAACCTCGAATCCCGGAGTGGGCGGCCAACTCTGTGGCCTGCTGTGGACCTTTGTATTTGTCTGCCGTCTATGGTCACCTGGAATGCTTCAAGACTCTCTTGCTGTATGGGGCTGAGCCGAACTATAACTGCTTAGATAGGAACATGGTCACCCGAATTAAACACCCCAAGACTCTCCTGGAAGTCTGCTTGAAGCATGGCTGCAGGGTGGAATTTGTCAAGCTCCTCATTGATTTTGGTGCCAATATCTATTTGCCTGGCATCACGATGGAGAAGAGCTCAGCAAACTCTGAAGTGCTTGAGCTGTTGGCCAGAGAAAGAGGTAACTTGTTTTTTATTTTTATTTAATACAAGGTTATGCAGATTCTTAAAATCTCCCTCCTTCTCCCTTTCTTTCTCTCCTCCCTCCCTCCCTCCCTCCCTCCCTCCCTTGCTCATTCCATACATTACCTATCACATTATTTGATTCTGAGGTAAACAATACTACACAAGTTACATAACATGAATACAAAAGAGTCACACAAAACAATTTAAGTCACAAGCTAAGAAAAAAACAGACAGACAGACATATAGCTAAATCTACATTCACAACAACAGCATTCCTTATTGCTTTCCATACTTTTATGTATGGGGTAAGCACAAAAAGAAAAACTGATTTTCTTACAGCCTACACCCTTTCTAGAAATTCTGCCAAATGGTTTTGCATCAGTCACAGCTCAAGAGTAACAAAATTATGAGTGTTTGTCCCAAAGGTGTTTTTCCAAAAGGCAACCAGACTTTCTTGCTTCTTTTCTTGAAAATGTTTCACTTCTCATCCAAGAAGCTTCTTCAGCTTCTTGGATGAGAAACAAAACATTTTCAAGGAATAAACCAAGTAAGTCCAGTTGCCTTTTGAAAAAAACACCTTTGGGAGAGCTGTGACCTGGATGTTGGAGAATCTCCATAGCCATTACGAACCTTGGTTGCTCTGAGTTCCAGGTGAATAGGTTTCTAGGGGTCCTGGGATGAACTTTAAGGGTGGGTAGTACTTTTTCTTCTTTCCCCCCTCTCCCCTGCAGCTCATCCTAGATCTTCCAATGTTCTCCAAGGTGACCCTTCTTACCTTCCTCTTTCATCTCCAGTATCTTTCATTATTTCACATATTTTCCCCCCAGGAAACCTATTCTGCCTGGAGCAGCTCTATTCCATACCCAGAACAGTTAGGTTTCAGGCTGGGCACAGACCAATACCACAAAGCATGTATGGTTCTTTGTTCTTAATTTCTACTGATGACCTTGAAGGCATTACAGGGAGTGAAATCTTTAGCAGCGTTAACTATGCAATGACAATTACCACCTCTCTCTCTTCCCCATTCCCTCCTGCTGTTCCAGCATTGCCCAAATCCTTGATGTCTCAATGCAGACTGGCAATCAGAAGATTTATGAAACTGGAGAACCATCCTGAAGCTGTGGATCAACTGGACATCCCACTAGTGCTGCTCAGCTACCTCAAACACCATGTATAACAGAAGATCAATGCTGAATTGCCCAGGGTTACCAAGTACTGTAACTGGATAACCAAAAAAGAAAGAAAGAAAAACACTTCTAAAAATTGGAACACTATGTGTGGTGGTTTGCTTGAATGAAGTTGATGGTGTGTGTGAAAAATAATGCAGTAGCTAGTTTCCCAATTTAGGGAATCTTAAGAAGTGTGGACTTCAATACCCAGAATTCCTCCAGCCAGCATGCTGGCTGGGGGAATTTTGGGAGTTGAAGTCCACAATATTAACAAATTCACCATCTTAACATTAACAAATTAACTTTACATTAATATTGACCAACTAAAATGGATTAAAAAATATCTCACTCTCCTGGTGGACGACTGGGAAGAATCAAGCTTTATTCTTCTGGTTAATTTTTTTTTTGAAGATCAAGCTCTGTTGCTCTAAAGCAGAGTGTCAGGGTTCCAAATAGCATCCAAAAGTAAATCAGAGTCCAAGGCAAAGTATTGCTCAAAGTTCCAATTTATTAAGAGAGNATAGATAGATAGATAGATAGATAGATAGATAGATAGATAGATAGATAGATAGATAGATAGATAGATAGATAGATAGATAGATAGATAGATCTGTCTTGAACTAGAGCATTTATCTGGTTTCATTTCATACAAGCTTTTTTTTATTTCATTAAAATATTTTCCCAAGTTAAAACAGCTTTGTACTAGTTTGAACATTGGTTGCCCTGACTGGACCTATAGTGCAAAGAAATCATTCTACCCAGTATTAGCTATTAGCATATCACACTAATACACAGAAAATTGCTCAATTTATAAATTGTTTAAATCTTTTGAACTGATCATTTTGAATGACTGACCTGACGAATAGCCAGTGCTCCTTGGGGATCTACAGTTAACTCTGCCAAGTGAACCCCAAATTCTGAAATAGAACAAAATAAAAATCATCAGCCTAAGGACCAATGATAAAGCACCATCGACTCAGGTATAATGGTGAAAAAACTATAGTATAATGACTTTATTCACAACCCACTCCTTATTATTTAAGCAATTCACTCCCTACAGTTTTTGTTTCAATTTATGACTGTTCCCTATTGTTCGTATGACATTTTTTCACCTCAAAGGCAATAAAGAAAGTCTACAGAAAACAGAACAAAAGCAGTCTATGAATTACTTAAAGAAAGTAATTGAAAAAATATTCTTCAATGCTGAACAAATATATGAAAGAAAAAATATCTCCAATGATATAACTTCCACAGTCATTAACTAAAAAAGTAATGTAATACATTAGGACTGTATAGTCAGGATGAAACAGCGGCAGTAATGAATTTTCTTACTCAATCTTTCCCAATTGGATGTCCTCTGATTGTATTGGACTACCTGTATCTTTAGGGCATATTAAGGATCTATATTTAAATTATACACTTTAGAAAAAAGGAGAAAAAAGGTACTTCATGGCTAAGTGCATATATTCATTGGGAATATAATTCTGAATATATTTATTCATTGTGTACCTCAACTTTCAAGATCTTTTGCCAAACATTTTTAAAAAAATAGTTTAGTTAAATTAGTAAAATTTCAACTAAAGAACAAAAGCACATAATAAGTAAATAATTCTTCCAATTTTCAAATTCTATTGCTATATTCTTATACATGAATCAATACAAGACAGAGAAACCCAAAGCCAAACAAATCAAAGTGGATTATTTCCTGATTGAAAGTATTTGCAATAGTCTGCTACAATTTATGTCAAAATTATGAAATTTTGAATATAGTATCAGTAATTATCTTATAGTGTTTAGATTTCATAATAGCTAATGTGTAGCCATATAAGTTCTAATCACAGAAACATATTCTTGACAAACTAGTAAAGCTCTAAAATCTACAATCAAATTGCTCTATTCTGATTGCTTCTCATTTCTCCACTGCAACTAATATTAAAGATAGTTCAAATAAGTAAAGGTAAATGTTTCCCCTGTCCAGTCATGTCTGACTCTAGTAAATAGTGCTCATCCCCATTTCTTAGTCAAAGGAGCCAGCCTTGTTCGAAAATACTTCTGTGGTCATGTGGCTAGCAGGACTACTATATGTAAAATCAACTATAAATATCCAGAACAGATTTTGATCATCTTATTGCTAAGTATATTACAATTTTCACAACTATGTTATCATTTTTTATTCACAAAATCTTTGATAGAATCATTCAGTTCTATAATTGCAGTTCTTTAAAAAGAATCAGAAGGTGATAATAAGGATAACAGCCGCATGCATGAATCACCGAAGACACATGTTTTGTTGAACAAATTATCTCAAGAATCATATTTTCAGGAATACTCATACTCAATAATGAAAAGCAAACCATATACTTAATTCTGATACATAGACTAATGTCTCCTTGTTTCTTCAAATAATTACTACTACAGTACGACTTTTAATTTATTATATTGGTGTTAAATATACCAAGTAATGAGAAAGGTAAAACAACACAGCACAAATTTCTGTATGTCCTCGGAAATTTTATCACCATGGTCTGCATTTATACAAATCTTGTCAATCTTCACATGGCTCCTTCAGACTTGCTTTCTCTGAGTAAAATTGACTTAGTGCCACCTGAAAGAAATGACTAGCAGTTCCCCATTTTTGTGAGGTTAAGGTACAACGGGATAGTACATAATGTTTTCAATTGCAGCCAGTGTGTCTGCAGCCAAACCCACACAGATTAATGTGTCCTGTTATATTTCCAAATGGTTGTGAAAACTGAACTCTTTTAGGAAACATTTGGAGGATAATGAATTTCATCACTGGACTCCTATAGTGGATATTCCTATTTTTATCCCACTGTAAGATAATCTGTTATGAATAAGATAATGAGTGTCATGCATTCTGAAAAGTTATTTATAATTGTTGGAACAAGTGATTAATAATATGCTGTGTTTCCCCAAAAATAAGACAGGTCTTTATTTTCTTTTGATCCCAAAATAAGCACTTGGCCTTATTTTCGGGGAGGTCTTATTATTTTTGAGGTGCAGGAGGTGGCGAGTGTGGCCACCTCATGGTTGCTGCTGAGTTGCAATATTTTCAGGGAGGGCTTATTTTCGGGGGAGGGCTTATTTTAGTGCATGCGTCCAAAAGCCTGATTGGGCTTATTATTCAGGAAGGTCTTATTTTGGGGGAAACAGAGTATTTATATTTGTATTTCTAGTTTTAGTATAATACAAATGTAAATTTGGTAAAAGAATACAATATATTTAACATACAGCACAAAAAAATAAATTACCTGGTTGGTTAGCAGAACCATTTGATAGCTGTTGTGAACATAAAAATTGGATATACCAAAGTTTTTGTGGTTGTGCTATGCCATTACATAAATACACCATGCTATACGATTTATCAGCGATTGCTAATAAAAATGGAAGCATGACATGTATTTAAAACAACAGTGCACATAATATGGAAAGGACACTGCAACTTCATTATGGTTCTACCTGCCTTCATTATATGCATCGATATGTCTGCATACACCATATCATTCAATTTTTCATTTTAATTGTTTACAATACTCTAGCCTGGGAATCCAAAGGCAACAGCTTTTCTGACTAACAAATTTTATTAAGAGACAAAGGTTTCATCTTTTTACATCTCACTTTATCCTCTATCTAGGATATAGATTAAGATGAATAAATGGGAAGAAAGAAGCTTGATTATACAGATGCAAGCTATATGCGAGGTCTGGTTAGTGTAAACCTTAGCTCATTTAACATCTGTAAAGATTCTCAGTCATCCAGGTCATGGTTGTCCCAAAGGTGCTTTTTCAGGAGGCAACTGGACTTTGTTTTTTCTTTGAAGACATTTCGCTTCTCAACCAAGAAGCTTCTTCAGTTCTGACAGTTCTTCCATTCCCCACTATCCTGTCAGAGCTGAAGAAGCTTCTTGGATGAGAAGCGGATTGTCTTCAAAGAAAAAAAGAAAAGCAAGTCCAGTTGCCTCCTGAAAAGGCACCTTTGGGAGGTAGCTTTTTTGTGGTTTCATGTGTTCTGCAAACCACATGTATTTACGGTAGATTATGGCTCAAGATACAGTGCAAATCCTGAAAATCCAGAAAAGGGGCTGGTTCAGTAACCAAGTTAAGCATGTTGCATTAATATGGAAGATACTGTTTTTCAGTCTCTCTTGGGAGGACGGGGACTGAAATAGGAATATGGTACCTTCAACATTGTGGGAACAAGAAATGATTGGCTACCGGATCCTGAAATGAACCCGGAATCAAAAAAAAGGAGGAAAAAAAAAAGGAAGGTGAGCTTCACTCCACGTTCCTTTTCAGGAATCACTCGCGCCCCGAACGGGGATCTCTCGCTCCAGCCTCGCTTGCGGCGACAGCTTTGCCCCTCGCCGAAGTCCAAAAGGGAGGGCAGCGACGACTGCAAAGACTGGAGGCTCAGGAGGCCACAAGACCCCACGGCCTTCGGTCCTAGAACCCAGCCAGGCAAGGAGCTCCATCAGCTCCGGTATACTCACCCTCCGTCACCTCCAGCACCTTCACCTGTTCCTCAGCTGCAGCACGAACACCCTGCACCGGGCAGAGGATCCCGTTCAGGGTCTCCACCAGCGCTTCTTTCAGTCCCTGAGCCACGGGTCCAGGCCCGCCGCCCGCCACCGCTCCCGACATCCCGCCGTATACCGCCGCGCTGGGCGGGAGGAAAGGCACGCACGGAAGCCCTATGGAAGAGCTCGCGAGGGAGGGAGGGAGGGGGAGAGAGAGAGAGAGACAGACAGGCAGGCAGGCAGACAGAGAGAAAGAGAGAGAGGGTGGAAAGAGAAAGGAGGCGGCACCGGAGGGTCGCGGGTGGTGCCGCCACGCGCCAAACGCGCCCGCAACGACGCGCTTTCCGAGAGCGACGACTGCGAAAATCAGAGGCTGAAAGATTCCCGAAGAGCGCCCCTTGAGGCTCTTAATACACGCGTTAAAAGGAGCTTTTTAAAAATCGCCTTCATTTTTTTAAAATTCTGCCCCGAAAACGAGTCTCTTCCAATTAACAGATAACAGATTAACAGAGTTGGAAGGGACTTTATGGGTCATCTAGTCCAACCACACCACACCACCCCCGCTCACGCAGGAGACCCTACCTACACCATTTCTGACCAATTATTGCCTGGTCAATACTATATGCTAGCTGTACCGCATTGCCGATCTTTACTATGACCAATACATGTAGAATAGGGAATGTCTTCATGTCGTTGCTGACAGGAAGAAGCCAAGCAAAATGTCGTAAAGAGGTCTTGTCAGACAAGAGGCTGAATTTATGCATTTTTACTCGGAAATACAGGTAGTCCTCGAATGACAAGAGCTCATTTAGTGACTGTTCAAAGTTAGAAGGGCACTAAAAAAGTGACATATTACCATTTTTCACATTTACGACCATTGTAGCATCCTTGTGGTCATGTGATGAAAATTAAGATGCTTGGCAACTGGTTCATATTTATGATGGTTGCAGTGTCCCCGCATCATGTGATTGTCTTTTGCAACTTTCTGACAAGCAAAGTCAATAGGGAAGCCAGATTCACTTAACAACCATGTTACTAATTTAACAAATGCAGTGATCCACTTTTTTTATTGATCTCATAGGCTAAGCAGAACTTTCCTCTGTGGTTAGAAGTGATCACCTGGGAATGCTAGGCCTGTTGTTGTCAGTAGACAGAGATTTAAAAGCATTCTTATTTTGACGATTCCTACTTGGTGTCAGTCTAATAATTCCTTAAATCAATTGTCTGAAACTGAAATCTAAGAAGCTTTGTGGGATCCAACTACTTTGGTCTGAGGTGAAACTTAGGGCAGCCCACTGAAAAATGTGACAATTTGTTTACAGAAGAATTCCATAACATGTGGTCCTCTCCTGAGTTTTATTGTAACTCCCATTGTCCCAATTAACAAGTATTACACTGATTTGATTGAACTATATTTCAACTCTGAACAGCGTAGAGTTAAATTGTGTTTGAAATTCAGAGAATGTCCTCCTTTGCTTACAAACTGGCCTGAAAACAAGCAAAAATCAGGCGTGCAACAGCTTTTCAGACAGGTTGGCATCTCGAATGGCCCTGTTAAATTTCAGATTTCAGATTAAGAGTTGGAAGGGACTTTATAGGTCATCTAGTCAAGCAGGAGACCCTACACCATTTCTGACAAATGGCAGTCCAATCTCTTCTTGAAAGTCTTAAGTGATGAAGCCCACACAACTTCCGAAGGCCCATTGGTTGCTTGTTCGCACTGTCAGAAAGTTCCTTCTTGTTTTTAGGTTCAAATATTGGAACACTCTTGTGAGAGTGAGCTTGCATTGGGAATACAAGCATTCTCACAATCCGATGGACCACTTCACGAATTCTAATTCCTAGGCTGCTTTGGCAATGAGACACGCACACACTGCAGACTGGGTGAAAAATGGTGGCTTCTGGCTAAACCAGAACACTTTTTATTAGGAAAGTTCAAAGAAAGCTAGTCAGCAGTTTAATACAAAGGATCTCACAGTATGTTACAAATCACTTCTTGATTACACATTCTGGCAGAAAGGCAGGGAGGAATTAGAATTCG